CCCCCCCCCCCCCCCCCAATAGTATATTGGTCATTATTTAGGCCCCTATATTCGAGGAAGCTGGGTTTGAGCCTTGTGGATTAATAAGGGGATATCATCCTAGAGCAAGCTGGGTCTAGCGAGCACCTCATCGTAAGCTCAAGTTCGACACTGGATACATGTGTGTGTATATATATATATATATGTACATATATGGGCCTTATTACTTGGTGGCGCGATTGAAACTCATAACAAAATCCCCCATGATAGCCCTTATCTCTAGTTGCACTAAAGAGGCACCCAAAGATCCTATTGGAAAGGCCCCTCTACTAAATTCCTGTACACTCCGGCCAGTCTGCCATGTTGACTTGCATGGGTGCTGCGGCTGAGGATGGGAGACGCGTTCTACGCCTACATATGGGAAAATGGCCATGCACAAATATTCAGGCAGGGTTTGCCTGACATCAGAACGCGTTTGGCACGAATCGCCGAGAAAGGGAGGGGCAAACTCTTGTTCAGTCCTTATGACTTGTACGATGGCCGCCGTCGCTAGCCAAGGAAAACAGAATTAATGAGTCATGGGCCAAGAAGAAAGCTTCAAATCATATCTAGCATATAAAGGTTCTAAGCGAAAGGTAGCTGAAAACGACTGTTGCATCGCGATTAATTAATTTTCGGAGGGGCGAACCTTTGGGTCGGACCCCCAAAATATGGCACAAAAAAAGGAAACAACGAGCTCTCCCCGGATGTAACACCTGCAAAAACCACAGTTCGTGAAACTCAGCACGAACTTCCCCCCTCTAAAGCGAAGAAAAGTTGGCAAACAAAGGCCAGACTGGTGAAAACAACGAGGTGGTGAAACGTCAAAAAGATTCACCAACTCGCTGGTAAAAAAGGAGTTAGTGAAAAACAAAATCGAGTTGGTGAAAAACAAAAACTTCACCAACTTCGCGCGACGAACCGCCTACTGCACGGATGACCACAAAACAGAGCGCTCCAACCCTTGTCTACAGCCTAATTCGACAAGAAAACACACACTACTACCTTATTTTCACTGAAAATGCTTCGTTTATTTTATGTCCGCGAGCCGGTGAAAGTTTTTGTGTTTCACCAACTCGTTTTTCACCAACGAGTTGGTGATTTTATTGTTTGTTTGACTGGTCCGTTCTTTTTTCACCAACTCGCGTTGTTCACCAACTCGTGTTTTTACAAACTTTTTGTTTTTGCGCGGGAAGCTAGTGAACACAAATCACGAAGTGCATTTTGTAGTGGGGTGACAGGCCTACCCCCTTGAACAAAAATCGCGAGAGCTACCGCTTTCGTGCCTGTACATGTAGGTTCTGCAAAACATAAATTCTGCCAGCCCTTCAGCTATATTGGCTCTGTTCTGGAACAAATGACACTCGTTCATGAATGCCGCGGTACTCAATTTGCGATCCACCGCTGGGCTCTCGTAATGTGTGTAACGCTTCTTTCGGCGCTGTTTCTCTGAAACACCTTAGCAACAGCATTCACTAAAGTCAACCATCTGCCAACCGAATCGGTAGGAGTGCTTTTTTTGTTGTGTGTGCTTTTTTGCTGTGGGTGCGCGGCGCGATATTGTTTTTGCTGTGGGTGTGCGGCGCGTTTTTTTTTTGTTGCGCAGCGCGCCCTTTTTTTTGCTGCGGGTGCGCGGCGCGTTTTTTTTTGCTGCGGGTGCGCCCTTGCCCTGCCCGGGGCTGGGCCGGTAATGGGGCGTGGGCCGGCCAGCTGGGCGCGGCAGGTTCGCTCACTCACTTGCTGCCGGGGTGGGCCTCGGGAATCCAAGGCCATGGTCTCCGTAGGGGCTTGTGCAGGGACGGGGGTGGCTCGTTTTATTTGTTGCCGTGGGTGCGCGGCGCCTTTTTTTTTTTTTTGCTGCGGGTGCGCGAGCTCGCTCACTCACTCACTCGCTGCCCGCCGCCCGGAGAGCACCAACAGCAAAAAAGCACACACAACAAAAAAAACACGGGTTCCCAACCGAATCCCCTTAAATCCCACCAAGTTTTGATAACAAAAACACTGCAAATCCCGCTAGGTTTTCAAGCACTCCTACAGGAACCCTGACAGACACCTCTGAACCCTAAACCCTAAAGCTTTCTCCCCCGCTAAACAGCGAAAACATGTTAAACTTTCAGATTTCGACTAAATTACAAGAGCCCAAGAGTCCAAAGGCTGAGAATGAAACCTCAAGAACCTAAAAACGGAACATACAAATCCTGGAGCCATGAAAGACTAAATCTCTGTAAAGGAACCCTTAAAGGATCCCTTAAAGGAACCCATAAAGAATCCCTTAAAGGAACCCGTAGAGGGGTCTTCGAAGAAGTGGGTCCTTAAACAGGACGAGAAGGGGCTCTATGATTCTAAGGGCCTGAGTAAGTAGACAAGGGTTTTGGTTTTGGAGTAAGGTACATCTTTGTAAAGGAACCCCTAAGAAATAGTATTACCAGCTACTCATGCTTCTATATCCTCAACCCTCGAAAAAGGGGCTAGCGGTGAATGGGAAGCCGTGGGTTTAGGGCGGCTTGAACAGGATTTGACGGTCGAGGGTTTACGTATCAAGCATCAAGCACGAAACTGTGGAATTGCAGGATTTGGGGAGTACTAGGGGTTTTGGGGTTTTGGGTTTCGGGGTTTTGGGGGTTTGGTGTTCAGGGTTCATGGTTTAGTCAGGATTTTGGGGTTTGGGGGTTTTGGGGTTTTGGGGTAGGGTTCAGGGTTTGGGGGTTTTGGGGTTTTGGGGTAGGGTTCAGGGTTTGGGGGTTTTGGGGTTTTGGGGTAGGGTTCAGAGTTTAGGGTGCAGGAGTACCTTCAGGGTCCATGTGCCCATCAAGTGTATACTGTTGGCTTCAAGTGCCTAAGGACCACTCTACGCCCAAAGTATATATTATCTGGGCACATGGACCCTTAGGCCGATAAACCCCGCACACCAACAATCGGCCTTGCGCAGGGGCGGGATGAAAAGCAGCAGCAAGGTGTAAATGAACTGGGCCAACTTCGCATGAATTGGTTGCACGTTTCGGCTTGTCCTGAGGGTCCGATTGCTCAAATAGCAGTGTTATATATATATATAACCCTACTATATGGGTACCCGAAACCCTAAACCCTAATCCCTCTCTGGGTTTGGTTTGGGGTGGGTTGGGGATCTAAGGTTTCGAGCGGGAAGGAACTTTGGGTAGAAACCGAGGAGTACAGGAAACTTTCCAGGACCCTAAACCCTAAACCCTAAACTCCTTCTTGTTGGGGCTTTGGGGCTTTGGATCTCCGGGGTTTCGGATCTCCGGGTTGAGGGTTTAGGGTCTAGACGGTCTAGGATTTAGGGGTTCAGGGGCTTAGGGTTTAGGGATTTAGGGTTTAGGGTTTTGGGGGTTGAGTGAACAGTGCCAGGACCCTCCTTGTACCGTCAAACAAGGCTGAAAGGCTCCAGTATTCAAGATAGTACCTACCTTCGGGTTGACGGCCGAAAGAGCAATGTACGGGGCTCAATGGTAAGAAGCGGGTTTTGGGGAATACGATACTACACTCATAAAGGGACCTTGAGAGAATTATCTTGCCTCGGGCCCCTGTACTGCATAGTAGATACCGGCTCGGGTGCAGGTGTGGAAAGACAGTAGTACTGCTGATACTCTAGACTTTCGGACGTTCGAAAGGTGATGCAGATGCACAAG